TGCCGCGCCGCTCTGCTCCGCACGCAGGACCTGCCGGTGGTCGGGAGGAGCGGGAGGAGCTTCAGCTACACGCAGGACGTGGTGCTGCTGCTCCTGATGGACGGCGTCCTGTTCCACCTGCAGAGCGTCACGGCCTACGCCCTCATGGGCAGGATCTCCCCCGTGACCTTCAGGTAGGACAGGTATCTGCCTGGCTGGTGCCGAAGCCTCGAGGTCTGTGAGTGCCAAGTGCTGAGGTGCTGGCCGAGGTCCCGGGGCACGGTGGCCGGGCCGCTGCCTTTGGTGCCATTTGAAATACACCCGGGAAGTGTGTGAAAGAAAGAGCTTTTTTTTTTTTTTTTTTAGTTAAATCTTTATTGATCTCAGAGAGGAAGGGAGAGGGAGAGAAACACCAATGATGAGAGAGAATCACTGATCAGCTACCTCCCACACACCCCCTACTGGGGATCAAGCCTGCAACCTGGGCATGTGCCCTGACCGGGAATCAAACTGTGACCTCTTGGTTCTGGGTCAGTGCTCAACCCCTGAGCCACGTCCAGCTGGGCTGAGATTTTTAGGGAGGTTGCCACTGGGTGGGTCTGTTGTGCTTAGAGCAGCGCGGTCAGCGGGCTCACCTGCCGCGGCAGGACCCGTCCCAGGTCGGGCGCTGTGGGCCCTGGTGGCTGCGAGCACCTGTACTGTGTGAGCTCAATGCAGACCTGACTTCCTGCTTTTACTGACTTCCATCTACTTACCTGTGAATAGCGCACGTGACCACGGGCTCTGGGAACCTGGAGGGGTTAAAGGTCTGGTTAGCCGGTTTTCCCTTTTATAACTGGATTAGAGGCCCGGTGCACAAAACTCGTGCACGGGGAGGGTCCCTAGGCCTGGCCGGAGATCAGGGCCCATCAGGTTCCCCACCTCCCCGCCTCCTTCCTGCCTGCTGGTCCCCCGCCATGTTCCGCACCGCCCTCTGGTGGTCAGCGCACATCATAGTGAGCGATCGAACTGGTCTCTGGGTCGAACTCAAGGGGATAGTTTGCGTATTAGCCTTTTATCATATAGGATGGATTTAATAAAAGTACCATTTCAGTAACAAATAGAAAAGAATGAGCTAGAAACTCCAGCAGTGGTCGGCAGCTTGGCCACGTCACATGGTGTGCGTCCGCCTCTTTCCGGTAACGGCTGAGCGGTCACCACAGTGGGACTGTCCCCAGTGAGGACAACAGAGGGCTCGATGGCGCCGCACCTGCCGCAGCCTCAGTGTCCCCCGGGCGTACACGCCCGGCCACTCCGGGGCAGCCGTCCTCCTCTCTGCTTGTTTTAATCGGGCCCAGCGAGTGCAGTAAGTGCTCGACAGCCACCTGGGCCGGGAGCCACGTGCACAACCCCCTGTCTTGCAGTGTCGCCAGCACCGTGAAGCATGCCCTGTCCATCTGGCTCAGTATTATCATTTTCGGCAACAAAATCACCAGCCTGTCGGCCATGGGCACCGTCCTGGTGATGGCGGGCGTCCTGCTCTACAACAAGGCCAGGCAGCACCAGCGGGAGGCCATGCAGAGCCTGGCCTCAGCCAGCTGCACGCCGGAGGATGGCACGGAGCCACTGGTGCCCAAAGATCCCAGGCCGCACCACTGAGCGCCAGGGCCTTGGCCCGCACCAGGGCCTCAAGGCACACATGGCTGCCCGCCTGCCTATGTGGTCCCCTGCCCTCGCTGCCTAACCCCCCTGGTCAGCTGGGGTAGGAAAGTGCATGTGTGGCCATTCTCGCCCCTTTCTGGGGTTTCAGTCAAAACCAGCGGGAATGTGAATGGGGACCCCCGACATTGGCTCCCTGGGGGCTGACCAGGTCCAGCTGCCACTGAGTCATCGCCAGGGGATGTGAAACTGCCTCCCGCGGCCCCCGTGCCAGACGCAGAGGCCCAGGACCCGCCGGCCTCTGCACGGCCCTTGCTGGGCACGCAGGTCACACTGCAGTAGGCCCGGCCCTGATTCCTCTGTGGGCGACACCCCACAGAGGGGGTAACTGTGAAGCCAGAGCTGGGTCCCGGTGCCACTGTGAGCATTCCCTGCTTGGTGCTGATGGAGAGATCTCACAGCCCATGCCAGCCAGCCTTCGAGGCTCCTCCTTCACGCCTTTGACCAGCCGTTACTGAGCCCTGGGGCTTGTCAGAAGCCGCCCTCCTGGGTGAGCGGGCCTGCAGGGACTGGGCTCCCTGAGAAAGGGAGCGTGAGGCCGCCTTACGGTCGCGTCTCCCTCCTGCTGTCCAGGCCCCTGGCTTCCCGATGGCTTCTCATTGGAAATGTGAACAGAGCCTCTTGGGGAGACCAGGCCTCTTGGAAACAAAGAGCAATAATCACGTCTCATGAAGTCCTGCCGACTTGAAAATGTTTGCCATGTGGTGAAGTCAACAAGGCCTTTTAAACTACACAGCCTTTCCACAGAGCTGACCCGTGTCCGCAGGACAGACAGGTGTGGCCGCCGGCTTGGCACGCTCTCCCTCACTGGACGCTTCTGCGACCTCCCCAGGATTCTGTCCTCTCTCCTCTTCTGCTTCCCTGAAAACCTCGGCTAAGGAGGACCCCCTGCCCGTGGCCGGGGAGAGATGTCGAGTTGATCTGTGAGGACCAGCGTGAGAGCACTGCTGCCCCGGCCCCGGCCCCTGACGGTGGGACGTGAACAGAGAAGGGCCACCTGTGGCCGCCCGGGCAGGATGGTCGCCTGGGCCTTCCCGCAGACTCTATCATCCGTAGTCGGAGCCATGGCCGCAGTCTCCGCGTCTTGTCAGGGTTCCGGTCCCGAGGCCCATGATGTGCCCCACCCTCCACTCTCTCCAGTGGCTTCAGCCGGTTTTGATTTTCTGAATTTTGGACGACAAGATGAAGATTACTAGTCAATGAGGCAACTTCCTGCAAAGCTGCTTTGGAGACTTCTGGTGGGGGCTGTGGCTGGCAGAGCCCTTGCTCAGGGCTGACACTCCGCCCGTTAGTCTCATCTCCACCTCTAAGTCTCCGTTCCGGGGCGTTGCCAGGAGTCACAGCCACAGCCTCGCTCGGCCTTTTGTTTAAGGACTGTGCAGACATGATGCGTCTTTAACGAACTGTCTCGTTTTTATAGTATGTCCTCCTCGCTGAACAGTGCACCAGCTATGACTGGGAGTCGTCATCCATTGGTCACGCCTGTGTCTGTGGTTGTCTGTGCCTTTGTAAACACACACTGGAACCAGTGATACCGAGACGCATCCAGATCTCTGGCTTTCAAAACGCCCGCTACTGAACGGCATAGAAAGCCTCTTGTTTTCAGTTCCAGTGTCATCACTTCTGCATAGCAGTGTGAGAGTCGTCTGCCTTAGAAAGCTGAGGACATCCTTGCACAACCCAAAATGTGTCTTTAATTTGAGAAAGAATAAACACGATGAACAGGAAAAAATGTGCTGCTCAAAGTATGTCACCACTTGGAGCTGTGCTCGTGGCCCCCGCCCGACACGCTTCTCCCCAAACCAGTGGTTTTTGCTTCCTGCTGAGTCTCCTGTGGACGGTCGGTCACTCAGACGGGCCAGGGGGTGACGGACACGGAGCCTGGCCTTACGTCTGTCCCGGTGACACGCTTCCTCAGGCCTGACGGTGTTCTCACCGTTTCCCTGGGCCGGAAACATGAAGGTCATTCCGGATGGAAACCCTCTCCTCTGCCTTTGCACAACGTCGTGTTGAGGACTTTCTTTCCCAAAACATGTACCTGCCCTGGTGGGGCCTCTCGTAGTCTTAGAAGCCCCAACGTCCCAAGGAGTCCGTTTCTGTTCTGGCCGAGGAGCCCAGAGCAGACGGGTCAGCTGCTCGCCTGGCAGCTGGAACATGAAACCTTCAACCCACTGGCTCTGGTTCTGAGTGATGGCCCCGGGACCCATGCCCAGACGTCCACATTGGGTTACAGCCTGTTCTAACTGGCAGAGTCTTGTGTGTGTCTAGGGTTGGCCCCCACCCCCACCCCCACCGTCTTCATTGGAGGAGCTGCCACTGCGGACCTGCTGTCTGAGCTGTCTGAGCCTGCCCGGTGTTGTGGGCTCCAGCTGGGAGGGCTGGTCAGGGTTCCCCACACTGGGAGACGGGAATTAACGAAAATAACCCTCGACATCAGAGCCAAGCCATCTGTTTTCTGCCAAACGGAGCCGTGGAGAAGCCCAAGCCCAGGGTGTCCAGTGCTTTGTATTTCGCCTGTTTGGGTTTTTACGGGACAAACAGAACATGGTGGTTAAGGGGTCGAGTCACTGCCCCTCCTCCTGTGGTAACGTGTTCACCTGTGGTGCCCTTGTCCTCTGTCCACATGAAGCTGCCGCCGCAGCCACATCTGACTCTCATTCTAAAAATTAAATAAAAGCCCCGCGTGTGCTCGCCGCCTGCGTTGGTGATGGGTCTGTGCTGCCAGGACGGCCCCGCTGCGGGCACAGGAGTGACAAATGGCTTCCTGTCCCCAAGGCCCCGGGAGCGGAGCACCGCCAGGCGCAGAGGCAAGCGCTTCCTCCGAGAGAAAATTCCCCGTTCGGGCTTCGGAGCCCGCGGGCACCGAGCAGCGGCGGGGCCTGGGGCCGAGGCCGGGGCACAGCAGCTCTGCTGGCCGTGCTTTTCCCCCGTTTTAATGGTTGGAGTGTTGTAGTGTCCCCCACTTCCCGCCCCCCCTTCAAAAATATTCATTTCGGGGAGGAAGGGAAGAGAGAGACACCGATGATGGCCGCGGGGGGTGGGGGGGCGTGCACGGTGACCGGGTGCACAGCTCGGTCTCAGCCGGAGCCCCACGAACATCGCGATGGCGGCCTCCTGCGCCCCGACGGGAACTGGGCGGCCACCCCGTGTGCCCGTGACCGGAACGGAACATCGCAGGCGATGCTCTATCCGCTGAGTGAACCGGCCAGGGACGCCCCCCGCTTTTTAACTTATAAGTACCGCGCGCTAATCGATTGCGCCACTGGAGCTCCCGGCCCCCGCTTTTTAAATTGCTTTCGGATGTGGGAGTG